ACGTAAGATATTTGACGTTTCTCTCAGTCCATAGGCGTCCACGAAAAATTTTCTGGTTGCAGGCAACCCGAAAAGCGCCGTCCAAAAATTTTCGACAGTTTGAGAATCACTAGTGTATAGAAATGTATAATAAATTTTGATCCACTTCTCGCCACAACGCTTATATTAATGTTAAATCTACAAAAATGAATGTAAAAACAATTAAACTACATATTAAGTTAGATAAAAACTAAAGGTTCTTACATTAAAAACATAAGGTTAAATACGGAGAAGTGTCATGTGATTGTCAAGTTTCGAAACTAAGCAAAATGATTATGAAACTTGTGTTTTTTTTTATCAAATTGATGCTTTAATAAAACGTATTTTGTAATTATTGAAAAGGTTGAGTGAAGTTAGTAATATGAATTCAATCGAAACGTTTATAACAATGGGATCTGTATTTTGTTTATAGCAGTTTGTGAGTGTTTGTCGATTGGTTTGGATGCCGTCAAACAATTGACAAAATTAACAATAACAAGTGATTACTTGATTATTGTCATGTACAAAATGAATGTGTTTTTAATTGGATTCGCGTTGCTAGTAGTGGTAAGTAGATATTAAGGATAATAAACGTTAAATTTGAAATTGTTTTATTTTGTAGATAGTTCCGAATTTGTCGTGCAAGGATAAAGAGTCGATTTTGGGTGGATTCAAGTCGTACGTTGAGAATGTCGTAAGAAACAACAAACTTGTTTTCGAGGTGAACGTGAAGGGTAACGCTGAAGCCCTCAGGAATGTTTTCATGAGGGAGACGCAGCAGAACATCGAATTGTTGTTGGCTCAGTACGTTGATAAGTTTAATGATAAAGCGGCTGATATGGAGAGTATAGCGCACGACGCCATCGCCGCCGCTTCGGTGAAAATAGGCGCCGACATCGAGGTGAAACGAAGATGTATAATTATGAAGATCATAGGCGCAATAAGCAATATCGTGCAGAAAGTGATTTTCGCGGTGATCAAGCCGACTCCTGCCAGACAGAAGGTAGCGCCGCCGAAAAAGCAGACTCATCTCGTGGGCAAACCGCGTTGCATAAAACCGAAAGTCGATGCGCTTCCGAAGGATTACACCGGTTACGCTCGCAACGAAGACGGATATCCGGTGTTGATCGTCGGACCGAAGGACTGTAGCCCCAGCTACGTGGAAGCTTACGACGAATCGTTGAAGGATCTGATCACCGACGAGGTGAACGCTTACGTGGCCCATTACAAGTACAAAGCCAAGCTGAAATCGAACATCAATCAATTCTTGCCGACGCTGAAGGCGCGCTGCAAGAAGTACACAGACAAATGCTTGAAGAAACTGGAGAAATGCGAAGACGTCTGCGATGCCATCGAAATTGTACTCGATAATTCCGACAGGAAACTCGAAGAAATAGTCGAAGAGTCTGCAGAAAAATACTAACAAAGTAAACATTTACAATTTTAATTTCTTTTATTACAAATTAGCAAAAATAAATAAACATATATATTTACATTCCACAACAACTTTATTGATTATCGCATCAATTTACAACTTTTTCTGAATTTATATTTCAAAATTATGTAATTATATGGAAATAATTATATCAGTCGTTATTGAAATTCAGTAGAATATGATTGGATAATAAATTTTTGGGTGCGTCAATATTTCTCGGCGGCTTCTTTGATCAACTCTTCGGCGCCATTTAGGATATTTTCGGAGATGGCCTTCAAAGCTGCGACGATGTCTTCGCACTTTTTAAGCTTTTCCACGCATTCATCCGTGAACATCTTCAGCTCGGAAAGCACCGTATTCTTGTAGATGTTGATCTTATCCTGCATCTTAGCCAGATGACCGTAAGCGTTTACATACACGTTCACGTCTTCGCTCAACATGTCGTGAATGGATTCCTGAAAATCGCTCACGTAATCCGCATAGCAGTTCTCATGGTTATCCAAAATCTCATCCACAACTATCACCGGACTTCCGGTCTGCAGTTTGGCGTATCCGTGAAATTTCACCGGGAGATGATCGATCATCGGACGCGACTTCTTCGGCGGCGCCACGTTCACGGTGAACGTCTGATTTTTATTCAAGACACCGAGGAATTTCTCGAATACTTTCGGCGTCTTCACTAACGGTTCGTTCATCACCTTGTGCACCATGTTTCTGAGGGATGCTTTAAAATTGAGGACGAGTCCTCTGCGATCGTCACCGATTCCTGCTGCAATTTCGGCGGCTCCAATCCCTTCCGCGTTTACAACCAAATTCGCGTCGACGCCAAAGTCCTTATCCTTCCCATCCAACTTCAGATCCGCATCCATGCTCGCAGTCACATTCAGCACAGTCTGTTTCGCTAAATCCACCAGATCCTCTTGCACATCTCCGTAAGCATCAACAAATTGAGCAAGCAAAAGATCGATGTGCTCCTTCGTCTCGCTCACGTAACTGTTCTTCAGCTTATCCACGTTTCCCTTAATATTCTCATCGAGCACGCCCAGATTATTGGACGTGATTTCGTGAATGCATTCCACGAAATCTGCAATCACTGCGTCGCAACGTCCGTTCGATACAAACTGTAAACGGAAGAAAATAATCATTATTAATTCATAAATATTTTTTTATTAAAAAACAAAATCATATTTACTTTGAACTTACGGTGACTAGCGGCAAAAGAATTAAACTTAACTTCTTCATGTTCGATAGCGGAGTGATTGCTAGCAGAAAACGCATTAAACTTATTCGTTGCGATATTATTGTATTCGATAGGAGAAGTAAAAAATAAATTTAATTGCCAATTATTGCCGCTGCTATTGAACAATGTTTAATTGCGCGAGAAATAATGTAATTGGGAGTTTATAAATAGGTGGAGGAGTGGTGCGAGGAGCGACTTCAGGCGACGATCCAGACTTTAGAAGAAGATGAAGTTCACGCGAAACGTTGTCATCGCGGTAATGTTAATCTGAACGGCATTGATCAATTAATAACTATAATGATTCTAGTTCTTGGTTTTCGGCTCAGCGTTTTGCAATGACGAGGCGGTCGAGGAGCAGGATATTGTGGAGCAGGTGTTGAGTTCGGTATGATATTGATAATATCGACAATTTTGTCTGTATTATAATATGATATTTCTCGTTCTGTAGGAAGAGTCTTCCTCGATAGAATCGAATCCGAAGGAGGACTATAGTTTGGCCATCGATATGATAATTGAGGCGATGGAATCGGATCTGGTAAAGGACTTGGAGGACGCTGCGACTGAGGAGGACAGAAAGATGTGCATCGAGACGTTCATCAGTGATGCGAAAGATAACATCGAGACGTTCAAGACGTCGATGTTCGAATCGCAACCGCAGCAGAGGGCAGAGTTCGACGACGATTCCGATGACATCCATACGAGACTGGAAACGCTGATCGCTAAGCACGTGCCGCAGAGGAGGACCATCATTGGAGACGACACGCGGAAACTGATCACGAACATCTGGCAGAAACCGGTCCAGATGGGTATCAACGTGTACAACAATCTGAACTCGCTGTCGGACAGCATGAGTCAGCAAGCGGACGAGATCAACAGGAACGCGTACAGGCAATGCGACAGAGATGACTTCCTGCAATTCAAACAAAATCTGAAGCAGCTGATCGACTCGAACGTCAATGGTTATATTGCAACTCTGCAGCTGTACAATCGGGCGACCGTGAACACGAACGATTTCCGCGCCGTCCTCATGAAGAAGGTGAACGAGTTCACCAATAAGGCCTTGTCCGGGGCGCACGAGTGCCACGAGAATTTCCATGCGTTCAAGAAGGTCGCGCTTAAAGTCGGCGAGGAGCTCATAAGGATCAGCAACATCGAGAACAGACCCTTCAAGAAGGTCGACATCCAAGGCAAGACATCTCAAAAAACCCAAACAGAACGAATAAACTATTTTTAATGTTTCTTGTTTCAGCGCAAAAGGCCAAGAAGATATGCGAAATGGATAAGTCGAAATTCAACATCAACTGTAGATTTTAAGAAATATGTTATTGTAGATTTAATAAACGCAATTGTTAGCCGAAAAACGAGTGAAAGATTTGGTAGCCGAAGTTGTACTTCTTCACGAGGATCTGAACGAAACCCTCGAAAAGGTTCTTCTTAAACTCGATCACGTTGCTCGTGAGATTCCCCAGGATCGAATCGTGCTGTCGAAAGAAACCGAGTATCATCGGGACCGCTTTTTCCTCGTCCTCCGGCAAATCCTTCTCGAAATCATTCAAATCCTTTCTCAACTTCTTCACATCTTCCGTTTCCTACAAACGAATCAAACTAATTAAAAACAGAAAAATAATAATTAAAATTATAATAGCTTACCTCACAAAATATTACTTGGAAACTTATAATAAACGCCTGTAACAGAAAAGTTTAATTTCATGAAATTAATAAATATATTAAACTTGCTATTAAGAGTAGAAATGTTTTTGAATTCATCGTTCTGATCAACTGAAGCACTTTTCTTTCTAAGGAATTGAATAAACATTAGTTTATTTATATACCTTCACATTACGAGCGAAACAAATCAGTTTGTTTTGTACATAGAAATATTATCAACTGTGATAAGACTTTATTCCTCACCGTTATTAACATAAGAACATAAGGATATTAACTTTATCCTTGAATTTAACATTAACGCTTTTCACAAAAGTATTTTAATAACTGCGTATTTTCTATCAGACATAATGTATGCTTTAATTAAGTAGATAACTATAAAATTGATATTTCTTCTCAATTCACGTTATTACAAAACTATTATACAAAACTAGGATGTTCAAACAACTTTGTTTTACTAAAATGTATTTTGTATAATAAGTTATCAGACATAATGTTTGCTTTAATTAAGTAGATAACTTAAAAATTGATATTTCTTCTCAATTCACATTGACGAAATTACAAAAATGTTATACAAAATTAGGATGTGCAAACAACTTTGCTTTACTAAAATGTATTTTGTATAATAAATTATAGACTTTAATTAAATATTGATATTAATAGCCAATACAATTTGTTATACAAAGCTAGGATATACAAACAACGTTGATTATCCTAGTAACCCAATTGACAGGACAATGGGATTAAATGAAGGATTATTATAATTATGAGTTAATAGCATCAATAATTCTGACAATATTCTAATCATAATTGACAAATAAAACCACAGCTAGCTTTATGAATATCTTTGAAAACTAAATGACGTTTATAATTATTATTTTTGACAAAGCGTTACTTAGGTAACTAAATTATTATATTCTAGAGTTACTATAGTAACTAAAACCTGTTGTTAACGTAACCACAAGAGATTTTTTTTTAATATCCAAGTAAATTGTATCAAAGTACGTGATTGATAAGTGAAGCAAAGCAAAGTCAATTAAAGTCGATTAAAATACAATGAAACAATGGTCTTCGATGTGTTTATAAAAATGGACTGGTTTCGTGTAGAAGTCAGTTTGGAAGCTGCGGAATAAACGCAAAAATCAAAATGTTCAAGTATCTTTTATTCATCGCTGTACGTAAATTTCTTGCACCAAAGCATCTAAAATATCTAAAGTAAATTTCGTTTCAGCTTGTCATCAGTTGCCTTCTCCAATTCACAGAATGCGTAAGTATTCAAAACATTCGTGCATCCAAACGGGATTTATCTTATATGATAAATCTATACATTTGCTTTCTTTTTTTTTGGTATTTTTTGGTTTTTTAGAGGAGAAGATATTCGGACGATGTGTCTACATTCGGAGTAAGTGTGAAACTTAAATTAGTAAGAGAGGGAAGCATTCTGCCAGACGGCAATGAAATCTTCATTGAATCCATTTAATTTATTCTTTCATTGTAGAGGTATCATTCCGATGACAGCAGCGCTGTGGAATCCCGTGAAGTCGTAAGTCGTCAAACTGCGTTAAGAGTCGAGAGGAAAACGTAATGTTTGTGTGTATCAACGTTTTCGTTTGCAGAGTGGATCAAGCGGATCCAGTCTGGTGGGTGGAATGCTGCAGACCGTCGCGATGGTCTTCAACAACTTCGTCAGTAGCAATTTGAGATTCCTGGGAAGCATCGGCGTCTTCATATCGGAGAAGATCAGCAAGGTCATCTCCTGGTTTATCAACCTGATTATCAGATTCTCGCAGTAGACGATCGACTCGTGATCTTTTGTTGCCTTTAATGTTTCCCAAATAAAATGTACTGGATTTACTGCACATAAATTTCGCTCTAATTTTATTTATTTTTTAAACATCCTATAAAACCTTTACAACATTACTATTAGACGAATACAAAATTTGCAAATAAATATGAAATAGATAGAATGAAATGCAACTAATTTATTGTGGAAAATGAAAAAAAAATACATTCTGAAAATTTAGTTTTCTTATTAATGTATATGAAATAAATCTGAAAAGTCTTCGGTTTTTTAACCATTTGGTCAATAAAAATGTATACAATGTGTACAAATGTAAAAAATGTATAAATTTGAACAATCAAGCAATACATGACTTACAGAAGTAACCATTAACAATAAAATTGGTTTTCTTTTTGTTCAATTAATTTGGCTATGATTTGACTCAAAAACAGAAAGTATTTGAACATATAAGCTTTGTAAATCTAAGTAGAGGAATGTGAATCTAAAAAAATAGTAATGATATTATAGAAACGAAGTTAAAGACATGTTTATTTAAGAGATGTTATGTAATTGAATAATAATAATTTGAGTTTGTGAATCTAAGAGAAAGTAGTAATGTTATTATACAAACGAAGTTAAAGACATGTTTATTTAGGAGATTTTGTGGTGTAATTGAATGTAATTTATATGAAAATTTCTAGCTAAAACATATCTTCTCGTTTATGAATACAAATATAAATGATTGAAAAAGTTAGTTAATTAGCAATAATCGTTAACGTCTCTGGTATCAGTGTCTAGAATCTAGTAATTCAATAATTGTGGCGTTCTGCTTCATTTGGTGACAATTGAAAGATTTCGATTGTCGATTGTATTCAAAGTTGCGAGTTAATTGCAAAGCATGTGCACGTCCAACTATATAAAAATGGGCAAACATTGAGGAAATAACATCAATTTAGTCGCAGATCTTACATCGGGGAACAATCCAAAATACAAATATGTTCAAATCGTTGTTTATCGCCGCCGTAAGAAACTGCTATAATTATTAATTTAACAGTATTACATTTAATAAATTTCTTGCAGATCCTCGTCGCATTCGTGGTCCAAGCAGATGCACGCAGAAGCTTTGTACGAAGAAAAAAAACATAATATTGATCATCGTAAATTACTAATCTTAAATTTTTGTAGTTCCCGGCGGAGTATAGAAGGAGCAGCCAAAATGGCGTTGTGGCCAGAAACGTACTCCCCAAGGTTCTGAGTGAAGTCGACAAGCTTGTGTTGCAGGTGATCGATGACGATCTGAAGATTCCATTCCTGAACGAGGTGCTCACCATCGTGCACAAGACCATCCGCAAGGTCAGAAGCTTCCACGAAAGTCTACCCTCGTTCATTAAGAACATCATCGATAGGGGCGTCGATTATTCCGCCAACCTAGTTTTGAGAGTGGTCAGTTGTATCCTCAAGATGGCCAGGGGTATCATCAACAGGTTCAAGGGTATTTTCTCCTTCTGAATGGGTCTGATTTAATTTTTTGGAATGATTACAAACAATAAAGACTAAATCCAACAGCTACAACTGTATCATTATTATTATCATCCTACCCTTTTATCCCTAAACTATATAAAAGTATATTAGTTTAGCATTCGAAAACCATAACAAATGCTATAATTGCTAAACAACTCTTATTAATTCCATCATTTCACTATAGTTACCAATGACAGCTAATGGTTGCTATGCACACAATAACACTAACAACTAAGATAAATTCGCTGTTAAAATTAAATTACAAACTTAAAATTTTAGATAGAAGGTTCAGGTTATAGAATAACAATAAGTTTCGATGGTTTGATTAAACCTTAATATATTTCATGAGGAATGTTTCTACAAATAAATATAAAAAAATAGGTACTAAAGTCTCTGTACAAACGTTCAATATATAATGTCGTGCACTTCTTCTTAAAGATTCTGATCAGTACGGAAATTTCTAACAGTTGCAATAAAATTTTGTACAAATAAAATGTTACTAAATTATTTCTTAAACTAACTTCACATAAACATGTTATTAGAAAGAACTTAATTATTTAAAAAAAAAAAAAACAAGTACATTTGGATGTTCTTATATATTATACAATCCATTAATATCGATAATATATGTTAGATATTCTGATTCAATGTTTTTTTTTTTTATTTCTGTCCATTATGATTCTCAACTCGCAATTGGAGTTGGTTTCTAACTAGAAGAATTTAAGACAGTTTTGTATAAAATAGCAAAATGTGTTCGTGTAAATATAGAATATCAGATATATATGTAATTAGTTTTTTTTGCTGTGTCGAAGATTATTACCTGTTTTTTTTCTTTCTTCGTTTCAGTTCTTAATTATCTTATTATTAAAAAAATGAAATCAATCAATGATTGTATATGATGTGAAATGGTGTGTGTGGAAAAACACAATCGATCGTTAAACAATTGGATTAATTGGAAAATGTCTATAAATTCGGTATCGGAATTGGAACAGGACGTATCGATCAGCGCACGCAAAAATGTTCCGCTTTCTTCTCGTTATTGCCGTAAGTATTCCTCGTCCTCTCCTCTTGACCAAAAGAAAAGAAACAACAAAAAAATACAACGTATTTTAGGTGCTAGCTATCTCAACGAACGCCGAAGACATTTATGTAAGTCAGTCAGCAAGTCCGTTCGATATGAACCTCACGTCAAAGCTGTTTCTTTTAAATGCGCTAGGATCTGCAAGAGAAAGCCGAGGAGATCGCCGACAGAGCATCCGATATCCTGAATAATGCCGTGGAGGAGTTCACGAACATCCTGTTCGAGCAGCCGTCTTACAAACACGACGAGGCGCTCCTGATGATCGAGAGGAAGCTGCAGGACGCGCTCCAAGTGCTCGCAGGAGAGTACAAGCATATGTCGCAGAGGGTCAAGAAGATCGTCGGCAAAGTCAACAAATCGACGATATCCACCTTCGACAACTACATCGCCGGAATCATGAAGGACAAGCAGGGATTCATCGCCCAGCACACAATCAAAGTGGACAAGAAGTAAAGGTCTCTCTATTTCTTTCTTTCTGCAGCGAACACACGTATATAGAATGTCATTAAAGATTCCGTAGAAAATCTGGCTATTCGCTAAATTCTTCCCTTCATTCGATATAAACGTCCCTTTTAAAATTGATATTATTATTATTATTATCTCAGTCGCAACAATAATGATTGAATCACACTTGTACTCTATGTATACATAAATTTGCTCCAGTTTCTCTCCCATTCTATTTATGTATATTATATATATATAAATATACCTATGTACGTATATCTATGTGCTTCTCAACAATAGCCGCTTTTGAATTCGAGGAAGGTGTGTTCAGTGACTGACACTATCACGCTCTTCTGTTCTCTCCGTCTGTGTTGCCAGAAACAAAGGGAAATTCCGAAGGTCAACGCAACGATGAGCACGGTGGATGCGACGAAGGCGACCGTAGTTAGAATGGTATTGATGGAGCTTTGGTTGGCGCAGTTTATTCCCTCCTCGTCGTATGCGGAAGGACAATGCGCCAAGCCGTCGCACCAGAGATCCGAACTAATGCAGGCTCCAATTTCCGGACAACTGAAATGTATGAAAAAAAAAATAAATCAATGCAATTATGTATGCAAGGAGTTTATTCACTCACGTGTGCTGACAGGCTGGCGGTTTTATAGTCAACATTCCGCTGGGAAGCGTCAACGCTGGGTTCTTGGAGATCTCCATCCAGTTGACCGCGAAGCTTCCGAACGGTTCTCGCTGCAGAAACTCGACGACGAAGCTGCGCGAATGCCGGAAACGGATGTTCTCGAAGGAGTAATAACTCCAGCCCTTGGAAAGCGTCTCGAAACTGTCCTCGGCATCTGGGCAAATCACTTTTACCTCTTCCTCGCTCGGAGAGTGAACCAGGATTCGGTTCTTGCTACCGCACATCGTTGAATTCCGCATCTCGAATCCGCGGATCTTCAGATACAGGAAATTACTGACCGGATCCTCGGGTTCTATGAGCCACGGTTGATTCGTGCAGTAACCGAGAGTGCCGTTCTCGCCGTTTCCAATATGCACGGTGATTTCTCCGCTGCTCCCTTTCAGTCTTCGACCCTTCCACGGATTCAAGCATCTGTTTTCTCCGGCGCCGAGGAACTCGTAACTTCCCTCGAAATGGTAATCCCTGAAATCTTCGCTAACGTTCATACCGGTTACGACGAAACCTACGACGACTTTGCGACCCGTTCGAGTGGATATCGACGCTTCGCTCAGATTGCCGCACAGGCAATCCCTCTTAATCTCGACGCCCTTCCAAGGATATTCGCTGATGTGAATCTGAGCCAGGCCTTGATCACCGAAGCTCTTACATTTCCAGCGACCGCTCTCCGGATCTCTATAAGAGTAACACCGTTTCTTTCCCAAGTGTATTCCGGTGAAGTGGAGCTCGACGCGTTTACCATCTCCGGCCTCGAAATGGTAAGCGCAGTTGAGCTTCGCATTTCCGCCTCTTCCGAACAGGAACGTCGTTCTCGGGGAATGGAAGCGGCCGGATGGAGCCCTCATGATCCTCTCGCAGGGATTCATAGAGGAAGCCTGGACGCCCTCCTGCGAAAGATCGACGAATTCGTATCGGATGACGAAGCTTGATGGGTACAGCACGTTCCCGTACCGGATGGTGTGCGCTATCGTTAAATCAGATTTCGTGGACACGTAGCTCTCTTTTAGATTGCACGAACGCGTCACGCGCGTTGAATTATTCAGCAGCAGATGATCGCACAATTTGGGCCGCTCGTCCTTGCAGAACTGACCCATGAGCGGCACGTTCTTGGTCTTGATATCGCCGTCCCACAGCTGAAGCTGCACATCGCAATCCGCCTCGTTGTATTTCTCTCCGGCTACGTGATACTTGATGAACGATATCCAGACCACCTCGTGCCGATGTCCACGGAAGTAATAGTGGCACGTCGTGTTCGGTGGAAGCGAATGCACAGGACTCTCCAATATTCCGCTGGGATTCTCGAAGGCGCTCACCAAGAATTCGCACTTTTTCCCCTGCTCAATGTACGTGGGCGACTCCTTGTTCACGTAGAATATTTGCACCTCCAATTCGAATCCGGGCAGATGCGATAATGGCAAAGGATGAAAGGGATTGCCGTAAGGCGAAGTCCTGAATTTCAGCAGCAATTCCGGTCCGGAGCTCACGATTTCCGGCATGCTCTCGCCGCTGCACAAATGCACCAGAATCGGAGCGGACTGCTCCCATCCATCGGTGATCTCGATGTAATCCTGAATAACGTTGCATCTATCCCAGATCCTGAAGACTCGATCGCTGTTATCGAACTTCGTTACCAGACCTTTGAAGACGTTCGTATTAGCCTGTCGCACCGCTATTAAAGCGTGCTTCCCAGGCGGCGCGCTTCTATCCCTTATCCGGTAATTACAACTAACATTCCTCGGATAAATACCCGGATAATTCGGAGATTGGATCCTGCAGCTCCGTTTATTGCAACCCTCTAACAGACGATCGCAGTAGGTCCCTGCATGCAGCTTCCCTCTGTACAACCTCTGGGAAACATTTCCATATCGAATCCGGGCGTCGCTCAAACGCAGAAATTTGTACGATAATTTGAACTCGAACGTATTGTAGCCGGAAGCCTTGAACAAAACAGAAGAGAGTAATTTGCTATCAACTCTTAAACAGTATTAGACTAAAGTTAGATTCACCTGTTGAGGCGGTAAGCGCTCGATGAAAAGGGTCAAATTTATGGACGGCGTTTCGCTGTAGTATACCGTGTAACCCCAGGAGCTGCCGCACCATTTCCCACCCAGCGATGGTCTATTGCTTTCCGTTATCGATATGAACCCGTCGGGACAACCCTGCGACGTGAACGATTCGAACGTCCCCACAGAGAACGCATCAAAACTCAACTGCAATTTACAAATAAAAATCGCCGTTTCATCCCAACAATATTTAAGTTACCTTACTTTTTACTAAACACAACTTTTATTTAAACTAAACCAACAATTACAATACTTCTAAAATATAATTCAAACAACAATTTAAGATAAAAACGAAAAATCTACAATAACTAATCTATAATATTTAGTTCCATTTCCAATGAAAACAGTTAATTAGAACATTTATGCACGAAATGGAGATAGATTTTATATAATGTAGCAATATTTCTTTTTACGAAAATCTAGGTGTTCTAATAAATATTTGTTTTGTAATCCAGAGTTGTATAATTTCTAATCTACCTGCACAAGTTCTCCGTGGTTCTTGCCCAGAGCTGTGAAATTTAAATGGCACAGAAAGGGTAGACCGTCGTCATCCTCTGCGGGTCGTCTGATCTCCAGGTCATAGGTATGTCCGACCTCTCCGTGATACGTCCGGTTGCAAGCAGCGATGACGCGTTGTTTAGAAGATCGTTGGAATTCGTAACTCACTGCCATCTCCAACAAATTCCGTACGCAATTCGGCGGTTCGTCCGTCGAGTCTCCGCAGTCCTGGACACCGTTGCAGAACTTGTCCACGCCGATGCACCTGCTGCCAAAATCACAAGAGAACTCCGATTTCTTGCAACCCCACACCGTGGACAAGGCCAGGAACATCACGTTCAAAGTCTTCAGCATTTCGTCTACAAAACGTTGCAATTCAAAAGAAAATATGTGTGTACATTTGATGTACGGCAATGCGCGTTACCCAGACTGAAATGCCGGCTTGCTTGGATGGAAAGCAGCACGACCGACCACAAAACAACGGGGGCGGCGCACAACCCCCGCGCACAAATCGAAGTCGCAACCCCCCCAGGAAAACCCGAGTTGACAGGATTTTTTTTTCTTCTTGAAACGGTGAATTTGGATGGATGCAAGGGAACAGCGATGTGGATAAGGTTATAGAAAAATCGCTTTCGTTTTTATTAAATTATATTTATTATGTAGTAACGAAACGTCTATTGTTCTTTGAGTTCCTTAAGACGCCTGACTGCAGACCTGACGGAAGCGGCGGCAGTGGTCGAGTAGACCCAGGCACCTCCAGCTACTACACGCTTACACCTCTTGCAGGACCAAATGCCAACAACGCTACGCTTCATGGCATCCTAAAAACAAAGAAAAACATTATAAATCATCCAATGCATTAATACAGAAAAAAATAGCACATTCAGAACTTTTATTATAATAGTTAAATCTTAAGATTAGTAAAAGAGAGAATATTCAATTTCTGATGATTCTTACATTATTTAAAAATGATCAGTTAATATTCATGCTGTTTGCATCAATCTCTCTCAAACATCCTTAGATGATAATAGTTTGAACGCATCTTGTTATTAGCAGACAATTGTTGAATGCTAGAAAACAACAATCATACAAAACATGCTGATGAACCAAACACTATTGTAACTATATTGAGCTGTTAATCAATATACTAATATCCTTCTGGACATACCTTTCCGCAGAAACTGCAAGAGTATTTGCTGTGCTGGGTGATTTCCATCTTTTTGACCATTTTACGGAGAGAAGCACCATAACGGGTACCATATTTACCGGTGATTCCAACCTTCTTAGTGCGTTTGGCCTAAAAAACAGAAAAAAAGCACGTTAAGAATAAATACCATCGATGAAGCAATCATAACCTCAACGCCAAAACATCAACACTTATTTCGGCCGTAATTGCCGATGTTTCGGTTTCCTCGCATAAATCATCCGCGAAACGCATTAAACGGCGTGAGCCGCGAAAATTCGTAGCGGTTTCGCGAAGAATTCAGCAAGGATTTCATTGATTTTTCGAGATTTTAGTGGACTTACCATTTTGTTAGGTACGATGTGTACGCGTTTCGAAACGGAAAAGAAAACTGAGAACGAAACGACGCCTGACGATGCACAGCTGAATTACTGCTTGCTAACACGGTTGCCTATCGCGAAGAGAGATTGTAATTTTCGGAAGAAACTTTGGTTGCCTACATAACAAATGGTTTATTTTTAACTTTAATCTGTTATTTAAACGATCAAATTATTTATAAAACTTACTTATATTGATATTATAATACATATTTAAACGAATCTTCTATAATTTTTAAATTTATTATTCGAAATATTATTTATTAACAATTAAGTAAGGACAGTCTCCTACTTACAATTATTTAATTACTTGCACATTAAACTTTAAATTAAACTTTAAACTAAACTTTAAACTAAACTTTAAACTAAACTTTAAACTAAACTTTAAACTAAACTTTAAACTAAACTTTAAACTAAACTTTAAACTAAACTTTAAACTAAACTTTAAATAAACTTTAAACTAAACTTTAAACTAAACTTTAAACTAAACTTTAAACTAAACTTTAAACTAAACTTTAAACTAAACTTTAAACTAAACTTTAAACTAAACTTTAAACTAACAATCTACAAACAATTGCTTAAAATGTTAGCAATAGTTTAAATAAGCAATCATAAAAATGTATACAGTTTCTTTGATAAACATCTCAGTAAAATATTGTATTTTCAAGTATACCATAAATATCTTATACATTCTGCACCATTTAGTGTCCTCCTGCGACTTGCTGATAAAACGTTACGCGTTTGCAGCTTTCAACACATTTTCCCATCCCTTATATTGGAAAATATATAATGTGGACTTGGCCTACTTTAATCCTATTATGGATCATTTTTCATGTCAACTACGCTTAAACGAAAATGCTTTTCTTCTATTTATTTCCAATTTATAGAAAGAAAATTAATGTTCATTCTTTCCCCAATTACAAAAATAAATTTCGTTAGAAAATGTGTATTTCGATTAATCAAAATTATTTTTAGTGCATGTCTAATACTTTGAAGTATTTGTAACTAGGTTAATACTATTTTTGTTTCGATTGCAATACACAATGTTTGATTACTTATTTAAGTGTTTTCATTTAATACTGCTATCATTTCGTAGAAATCTACTGTAATTTTGATAAGAGGAATTGACTAATAGAGAAATATATAAAAATAGTTTTTTTTTTATAAAAGTGTGTTAATTGTATTCAAGTAAATCATTTAGTTTATTAAACTTTTTGTTGGATGATTATTATTGATTTCTTAAGGGATTAATCTAATAGGTTTAATAAGTTTGTATTAAAGTTTAGAATGGGAAAGGCCTTATGGAAAATATTATTGTTTTGGCTTAGTTTCTATAATTGATTTCATATAGATCGCTCGATAATTGTATTGATAACGATAGTAGTGTGTATTTTTAGTTCACTTGTGATAAGGCCTATTAGATTGCAGTTTCACAATTTTTTCTTGCACGATTATATTGAATTGATTGCAATCTTGAGGACGTTTGGAAAAATGCAAGAAAAAAATGCGAAGATAAATTATGACTTTTTTCCAATCTGCATGAGTATAAATGGCATAGTACGTGGAGATCAGATCAAACCACAATGAAAATCGCCATTGTAGTAGCATCTCTCTTGGCTCTTGCCAGTGGTAAGTGAGGCAACAAAGTTGTATCCGATGTTGTCTTTACAAAGAGTTTGGTTACAGCGGCCCCGAAGCCGTTCGTCGTTGGCGGCGAGGATGCTGCGAGGGACGAGTTCCCATACCAGATCTCCTTGCAATGGGGCGTTTTGGGAATCTTCCAGCACGTCTGCGGTGGTTCCATCATCGCTCCCCAATGGGTTTTGACCGCTGGTCACTGCGTCACCGAACTCCCGTTCCCAGGAGACATGAAGATCCATGCCGGAATCTTGAAGCTCAACGATAACGTCGAAAGTCGTCAAACCATCAAAGTTGTCGATCGCATCGTCCATCCCGACTACGCAGGGTAATTACATTACCGATGTGAAAATAAACGAAGATGTAATTACATTATTAATTGAATGCAGTGGCGTCAACCCCAACGATGTCGCTCTGCTGAAGCTCGCGGAACCTTTGGAATTCAACGATTCCGTTCAGCCGATCGCTCTTCCAGCTGCTGGTGATATCCCGAGCGGAGATTCCGTTCTCTCTGGATGGGGATCCACCTCCTCCGGTCAAATCCCAAGCATGCCCAACAACTTGCAGAAGATCGACCTTCCACTGCTCTCCAACGAAGGTGATATTCGAAAAAGACCATCGATTTTGTTAATCTTCAATCTGTTTTTTCTTTCACTTCTAGAATGCGCTAATGCCCTGTCCGCTATTATGGGAACCTCTGAGCCATTGAACCAAGACAACGTCTGCACTGGACCTTTGGACGGTGGAAAGTCTGCTTGCAGCGGAGACTCCGGCGGTCCACTTGCTCAAGACGGCAAGGTCATCGGTATCGTCTCCTGGGGAATCATGCCTTGCGGATCTACCGGCGCTCCATCCGTCTACACCCAAGTCAGCAGCTTCGTTGATTTCATCAACAAACACGTTTCCGCTTAATTGACAACATGTTTTTTTTTTGAATATTTGATTTAAATATATGAAAAGCAACAACATCTTGAAAGATTTTAATACACAATCCAATTATATACAAAGTATAATTAGTCTTAATAGTTTTTCCAACTTTCATATGCATATTTTGCAACCATTTCGGAGAAAATCACTAAAATGTGAAGACATTGCTTTTTGAGCGTAAAATTTTTCGTTATTTCATCCGTCTACACCCAAGTCAGCAGCTTCGTTGATTTCATCAACAAACACGTCTCCGCTTAATTGACAACATGTTTTTTTTTTGAATATTTGATTTAAATATATGAAAAGCAACAACATCTTGAAAGATTTTAATACACAATCCAATTATATACAAAGTATAATTAGTCTTAATAGTTTTTCCAACTTTCATATGCATATTTTGCAACCATTTCGGAGAAAATCACTAAAATGTGAAGACATTGCTTTTTCGAGCGTAAAATTTTTCGTTATTTCATCCGTCTACACCCAAGTCAGCAGCTTCGTTGATTTCATCAACAAACACGTCTCCGCTTAATTGACAACATGTTTTTTTTTTGAATATTTGATTTAAATATATGAAAAGCAACAACATCTTGAAAGATTTTAATACACAATCCAATTATATACAAAGTATAATTAGTCTTAATAGTTTTTCCAACTTTCATATGCATATTTTGCAACCATTTCGGAGAAAATCACTAAAACGTGAAGACATTGCTTTTTCGAGCGTAAATTTTTTCGTTATTTCATTTTTAAACTTGAATTATAGTCAAACATTCCCCAAAGATCCAACATTCATATGCATCTTTTACATCCATTCTATTTACTATAGTTTCTTTTCAATTTCTGAAGGTTTTTTTTTTTGTAGGTAGGAATGAAAATAAATTCGTTGATCGTTATGTTTAGATGGAGTTATCGAAGATGCACATGAATGGAACAATGCAATTTCGAATATCGTATGATAATCGTGCCGAAGGTAAATCAAGATACAAATCTGAACCCGACGACCACTCAAAACGCGTCCAAAAATATAACTCTTATCGAAGCAATTACACAATGAAGCAGCATATATATAGAAGCAGAATCACCGTGAAACAATCAAAAGTAAATACAACCGAAAAAAAGGATGAAGTGTTTCGTAGTTTTGGCAGCTTTGGCTGCATGCGCTTATGGTGAGTACGCTTTAACTCTTTAAAAATGGAATTAATGTTTGTAATTTTTCTGTAGCTGCGCCAAGCGGTTTCATCACCAACGGCGAAGACGCCAAATTGGGGCAATTCCCACACCAGATCTCCCTGCAATGGGGCATCATGGGTCTCTTCCAGCACATGTGCGGTGGTTCGATCATCGCCCCCGAATGGATCCTGACCGCCGGTCACTGCATCACCGAACTGCCGATCGCCGGAGACATGAAGATCAGAGCAGGAATCTTACAGCTCACCGACAGCGAACACATGCAGGAAATCGAGGTCGTCGAGAGGATCGTCCATCCCGACTACCAAGGGTAAAAATCTTCGTTTGAATTGAACGATAATTTCAATGGTATTGTTCTCTCTTCAGCGGTGTCAACCCCAACGATATTGCTTTGCTCAAGTTGGCCAAGCCATTGGAGTTCAATGATTACGTGCAGCCGATCGGTCTGCCTAAAGAGGGCGTCATCCCTGAGGGAGAGAGCACACTTTCCGGCTGGGGATCCACTTCCACCGGTCAAATCCCAAGCATGCCCAACACTTTGCAGACCATCAACCTTCCAGTCCTTCCACATCAAGGTACCAATACCATTTACACCTGGTGATCTCTTTAACATTCTTCGATTTACAGAATGCGCTGATGCTTTGACCGCCATCATGGGTTCCCCTGAACCATTGACCACCAGCAACGTCTGCACCGGTCCCTTGACCGGAGGAAAGTCCGCCTGCAGCGGAGACTCCGGCGGTCCACTCGTCCAGGACAAGACCATCATCGGCATCGTCTCCTGGGGAATCATGCCTTGCGGATCTGAAGGCGCTCCATCCGTCTACACCCAAGTCAGCAGCTTCAACGATTTCATCCACAGACACGTCAGAAATTTGTAAATCAATGATAACTTTCCAATAAAAAAAAAACAACCGTAATTTCTTTCCAATCGTGACTTTAAACCAGAGGTTCTCAAACTTGTTTGTGTTGTAGACCCCTTGCCATGTTTTTCGGTTTTGGGTAGACCCCCTAGATCTTTATAATTATTAAGATCTTTGCTCTGAGACTGTGCGTATGCTTGTAACAAGATGATACTGGTATATCATTATGTGGAGGTTTTTACAAGTTCAGATCTGGTCTATATCGAAAGCCCGACTACCATAATCCCGACTATATCAAAATCCCGACAACCATAATCCCGACTGTATCGAAATCCCGACAGTGTCTTTTATTATTATAATGTATACAATAACATTATTAAATTATTCCGAAACGTAGTCACCATCTATTATTATTTAACTATTATTTAATATTAATAACTATAAATTATTATGAATAATTCAATGAAATCAAATACAATAAATAACAACAATAATAATCTCAACGCCCCCCGTTATATTCTAGAAATAAAAAACTCGAGCGATGAATTTTTAAAATTATCTTTATTATAATACATAAATGAATAAAATAATTATAATGAAACACTATGAGCTATTCCGCGAAGATAACTTATTAATGTTCTGTTTTGTCGATCATTTACAATAAAAGACACTGTCGGGATTTCGATTAGTCGGGATTATGGTTGTCGGGATTTTGATATAGTCGGGATTTCGAATGTCGGTGTTTCGATACAGTAGGGATTTCGATACAGTCGGAATTTCGAACGTCGGGATTTTGATTGTCCCCCATTTTCATTTCATGGACCACCAAATTTTTTTTTCGCTGACGTTGACCCCTTGCTAGTTGTCATAGACCCCTGGGGGTCGATATAGACCACTTTGGGAATCACTGCTTAAAACTATCAAACAACAAAATACAGATTCCAAATATTCAATTGAATCAAAAATATACAAAATTCAATTGCAGCAAATAAATCTAAGAAATCTAAATCTAAATAACAATTATATTACCTAAAACTGAAAACTGAAACTTTCTCGACAACATAAATTCCAATGCAACATATGTTTGTCTCTAAATAAAAATCGTTTCAATTTTAGTTTTTTTTTTCTTCCTTTCTTTATAAAATTAAAGTGAATTTTAGTAAAATTTTCGCAATTAATCGCAATTCACAGAAAATTATATAATTTGAATATACAAATAAACAGTTTATTATCAGACACCTGCTATAATCTACAACGAATTTATATAAATAAATGCAATTGATTTTCAATCGAAATGTAATTTACTGAATGTTGTAATCAAAATTTTATGATTCTTGTGTAAAAATAAATAGTTTATCAGATATCTGCTATATAATCCAGATATAGAATATAAATTAAATAAACAGAAATACATTGAATTGAGAAAATTTCGTCACGCATTTCCGATGAGAAGGAGCAATAATATTCGATGAAGGCGCGCGTGGGTTTAAATAGAAATGCGGCGTAATCAATTTCCACATTCAATTTAAATTAGTGTGAAGCAATACGAATTCGGCCTCAAATAATTTCATCTTAAATCTCTTAAAACCTTAATCAAAAATTTAACAATATTAGAAAAATAAAATAAGTAATTTGAATAAAATGCAATGATATAAATTTTGTTTGCGTCAATTCAGTTTTATAAATTGTTATTTATGTATCGTCTAATTTAACATCTTAAATAGAAAATGGGCTTAAATAGAAAATGCAGCGTAATCAATTTCCACATTCAATTTAAATTAGTGAGCAATACGAATTCGGCCTCCAACAATTTCATCTTAAATCTCTTAAAACGTTAATCAAAAATTTAACAATATTAGACAAATAAAATAAGTAATTTGAATAAAATGCAATGGTTTTTTTTTATGTAATTTGATATAAATTTTGTTTGCGTCAATTCAGTTTTCTAAATTGTTATTTATGTAACGTCTAATTTAACATCTTAAATAGAAAATGGGCTTAAATAGAAAATGCGGCGTAATCAATTTCCACATTAAATTTAAATTAGTATGAAGCAATACGAATTCGGCCTCAAATAATTTCATCTTAAATCTCTTAAAACCTTAATAAAAAATTTAACAATATTAGACAAATAAAATAAGTAATTTGAATAAAATGCAATGGTTTTTTTTATGTAATTTGATATAAATTTTGTTTGCGTCAATTCAGTTTTCTAAATTGTTATTTATGTAACGTCTAATTTAACATC